TTAAAAACACAAACTTATAGACTAATTTCACACTATTAAGTAATAAATATTAGGTGTTTTATTAACTATTAACTAATAATTATAATTATCATTTGTTTCTAATAAATTAAACAAAGCTATTATTATTATTATTATTTTAAAACCTCACTTGATATGGTTGGTTGAAGTAGACCCAGTTATAACAAGAAGTTGAGCACATACTCTAACATGTTTTAAAGAAAAACCTACAAAACTCGACCAACACAGTAAACCTATTATTGGGTTATAAAAATCTCCCATTAACAATTTGAAGTCAAAGTCTTGTGACCTATGATATTAGTGTAGGCCTAGGTCCTTGTCATGCATTAATTTAGGCTTAATTTAGTATTTGTTTGGTATTGTTTTCTTTTAGTTTTAAATTTAAATATTTATAAATTTTATAAATATTGAAAAGTAAAATTAAAAATAAAAAATTTAAGTGTTTGTGTAATAACACTTCCATTTTTTTTTTGCCAAAAATTTAGCAATTCGATGGCAACCAAAATTCAAAAACCAACAAAAAAATTAAAAACAAAACCTAACTTATTTAGTAAGTTTTCAAAACAAACAACCAAAATTAAAACTGTGTTTAGTTCAGAAAATCGTTTTTCCTCCTTATTGACACCTATATTTAGCCTAGGGTAAAAATCAAAAATTTCTTTTTAGAATGAGTTATAAATGTCAAATTCTATGCCCATGAATTACTTTATAAATATCTTTTTTTCGTATGTTAAAATGATGAATTATTTAATAAAAGGACAATTCTTTCCTTTCTGCCCCTCCTCATCCACTTTATAAATATTATCAAGGTTTCAAAACAAACATACAATTTTAGTACCTGCTTCTTTTTTTTTTTTTTCTTTTTTGTAAAACATTTCCAAAATCTTGGAAACTTCTTGTGAATACATGTCATTGGTTTTTTTTTTTTTAAAGAGTTTTTATTAAAAATACTGTTAAAATTTTGGCAATAAAAGCAAAAAAGTGAATAACGAGCTATTTGTGTTTTTCATTTTGGCCAAGATAAATATTGCTTGGTTGAAATTGCAAGTCAAGGTCCTTGTTGTCCATAATATTTATGCAAATGCCTTTAGGCTATTACAACGAAACTTCAAATAAGGTAACAAAAATAAGGATCGTTTGTGAGTCTTTTTCAATGCCGACATTTGGTATATCTCATTCTTGAAAAGTGAATACAATTTCACAAAAGATTAATTATATGCATTGAGAAAGAAGAAAATTGAAAAAAAAAATTGAAAACTTGGCAACTAACATAATTGAATTGGATAGTGATTGATGTATATTATGGTTGTATACAATGCATATTACATTTATTAAAAATTTATTATTTTTTTATATGAAATTAAAGACAAATAAATTTAAAAATATAATCATAAGTACAAAATGTAGGAATTAATTAAATTGATTATATTTATATTATATTTTAATAGATGAATTATGATAAATATCAAAAAGTGTATTGAACCTAATGCGAATCAATCATTTTTCAATTGAATTAAGGAGCTGCCCTAGGGGCCAAACATTTTTTATAGAATAATTCAAAATTTTAAGTGTTCTTTTAGCTTCAAAAATTAATCCATCCTAACAGAAGATAAATTGTTTGGGCAAAAAAATTTAGCTAGGGATTCCATCCCCAACCATGCCCTCAATAGTCAAAACAAATGTGACAACTAATCTGGAGTCCAACCAATATTGCATTCAAGTTGCCATCCTCCTCCTACAAAAATCAATTTTGATAGAAGATATCAAAAAAGTCAAGGTAGAAGCCCTTAGAAACATTCACAAGAGAGAAAGAAACTCTCATAAGAGAGGAGAAAACTCTTACCTTTAATCTACCCCAACCATTGAGGGAGAAAGAAACAACAATGCCTAAGGGGTTAGCTTCAAAACTCTTAATTCATAATTCAAGAGTTGCTTTGGTGAGTGGAAGGGGGTTTAGATCCCATAGTTGAAGAAGGTTGATTTTCTCATCATCTGACTTGTAGTAAATAAGGGCTATTGCTTGTTAGTAATATAGTAACTCATAAAGCTTGCAAAAAGACTTCCATATAGCTAGTGATGTTTAATTGGTGGTCTTTATACTTGATAACCATATTACTGCCCCTATAGCGCTTAGTCCTATAATCACTACTATTAAGTAGCTTCTTATTTGTCATTGAATGATTCGTTTATGAGTGTCTAGCACATTGGTATTAGATGTTATAGGTTTAATTCTTGTTTATCGATTGGCTACTATTTAGGGATTATAATTCATTATAATATCTATTTCTTCATCTATTAGTAAAATCACATTATTTAATTATTATAAAAAGCATTTGGGAATGGTAATTACTTATTATTCTTCTAAATTTGGCAG